TATAATATATTTGTTTCCTCTACTTGTTCGTGGTAAAGGTCCAACAAAATCTATTCCAATTCTATAGAATGGTGAATTAATTGGAATAGGATGTAATTCATTTTTAGTTTTAGGCCTTTCTCTTCGTTGACATGCATCACATACATGAACATAAGATCTAATATTTTCATATATTTGAGGCCAATAATATCGTATGCAAATTTTGTTAAATATTATATCAGTAGAAAAATGTCTAGCTGTTGGATCATTATGCATCATATAAAGGATTGCTTCTAATTCGGATATTTTGATTACTCTTAACAATTTTTCTGGATTCTTTTTAGGTTCCTTATATAATAGATCATTTTTGACTTTAAAAAATTTTGCTTATCTTTTTAATTTGGTAATATCTTGAGAATTAAAGGAATGGGGAAATGTATTCAAAGTTAAATATATAAAAAGGTTATTATATTGAATAGTATCCATGATTATTTGAGCTGCATATCACAATATAGACACTTTAGCTTTCACTCTAAAATATGTGTTAAAATAAATATAACTTTATAAATAATTTATAATAAAAGAATATTCAACAAGATAAGGGATTCATTAAGAATCAAAATGTTCAAGGATTCATAAAGTTGTGCGTAGGCATTTTCTTGTTGTACTATAATAGGTTCATTTCACTAAAGGTCATTAAATAAATAATTTGAATTCATATCAGGTTGAATCTTCCTAGGACCGAATCCAATAATACAATTATGAATAATAGTCCATAAGATAAGTTTATTTTACATGCTTTACAATACGTGTGAATATGATGGTTTTCAGTATCACAATAAAAGATGCATTGCAAACTATCTTTAGTAATTGGTTGATTAGCAATTACTTGCTTAACCTTTAAATTTTACTTATAAATATTCTCAAGTTCTTTTTGACTACATTTATATCCAATTGTAATTAAAAGAGTATTTGCAAATTGTTGAGATAATTCTTTTTCAAACCATTCCTCATCACTTAAGATATTATCATTGTTAGTTGAAGAATTGTTACTTGATGAGTACCATTCGATTTCTTCATCAATACTATCTTCAGAATATTCTGAAAAACTTGATTCTCCATTAATTGTAGCCATAAATGCCTTTCTGTAAGATTCGTCATTTTTTTGCTTAAGGATTAATCTAGATAAAGCATAAGCATTAGCATTATTTTTACCAGGACGATGTTGAATATTAAAGTCATATTGTTGTAACTCAATGATCCATATAGCATGTCATCCTTTAGGAATTTTTGAAGTTCTTAACCCTTTAAGAGCAGAATGATCAGTTACAACTGTAAATGGTTTAGAACTAAGGTAATAATGAAAATTTCTAATAGCCCATACTACTGCGAGACATTCCTGATCAGTAATAGGATAATTTTATTCTGCTTTATTCATACTTTTACTAGCTTAAGCAATTACATGTTCATTATTATCTTCATCCATTTGAGATAATACAGCTCCCAATCCTACTCCTGAAGCATCAGTATATAGAGTAAAATGTTTAGAGAAATTAGGATATTGAAGGATAGGTGATGTGATCAATTTATTTTTCAGTGTGTCAAAAGATTTCTGTTGAATTTCTGTCTAATTATATGGTGTATCTTTCTTTAATAAAATAGTTAAAGGTTTAGCTATTTGAGAGAACCCTTTAACAAATTTTCTGTAGTAAGAAAATAATCCTAATGCTGCTCTTAATTCAGTTAATCCTTGTGGAGCAGGTAATTCTTTGATTCTTCTAATTTTTTCAGGATCAGGTTGTAGACCATTCCTTTCTACAATATGTCCAAGTAATGGAATATTTGATAGACAGAATTGACATTTTTTAAGTTTGATCATTAACTTTGCTTCTCTGATCGCTTTGAATACAAGTTGTAAATATTTAACATGTTCTTCATAAGAAAAGTTTCAGGAGCATTTTTCAATCCAAAAGGCATCCTTTTAAATTCATATAAACCATATTGACAATTGAAGGCGGTCTTTTCTCTATCAGCTTCTTCCATTTCCACTTGACAATATCTACTTGCAAGATTTAATGTAGAGAACCAACTTGCATTTCTAAATTTTTCTAACAAGTCATCAATTAATGGTAAAGGATAAGCATCTCCTTTAGTAATAGTATTAAGTTTTCTATAATCAATACAGATCTAGAACCTCTAGTCTTCTTTGATATGATAACTACAGGGGAAGCCCAAGGTCTTTTAGATCTTTGAATAATATCATTCTCTTCTATTCTTTTTATTTCAGATTGAAGAAAATTTAATTAAGAAGGATCTTTTAAACGATATGTAGGACTTGTAATTGGTTTTTAATTTCCAGTTGGTATTTGATGTCGAAAAAGGGTGGTATGACCAATTTTTGTTTAACTAAGTGCACAAATATCCTTATTATCTTCAATAAATTGATCAAAGATTTCTTGTTGAGATATTTCTAAGGGTTTAACATGTATATCTTCTTTAATGTTTCATTCATTATTTTCAATGTTTTTTTTTTCAGTTTAAGCTAAAAAGACAGCGGGATTATTTTTCCAAGGATTAGCAAATAGTTCTGTTTCATTGTAATCAAAAGACTCTTCATTTTCATCAGAAGTGTTTACTTCACTATGAAGAAAGAAAATATCCCTTTCATTGAGGTATTCATTTTCATATTGATCATTATTTGTTAAATCCTCAATTACATCGATGAGTTTATCCATTGAAGTATCAGGGTCTTCATCTAATTTAAATGATGAATTATCATAGTAAGTAATTGGTACAGATGCAACTTTAGTAAGATATTTAAATCTTAATTTTCCTTCATCAAAATTGAGAACTGCTTTATTACGTTTGAACCAATCTTTCCTAGTAATAAATTTTCATTAGGGGATTCAATTACTTGTAAAGTAATAGGTATTCTAATAAGTCTAATAATAATCTTGACAGTGTTAATCTTTCCCAATGCACTTGCTCTTTTTCCATTAGCAGTATTAATAATAATTTTTGATGGTTCGTCGATTTTTAATTTAAGTCTTTTAACTAAACTACTAGTAATAATACTGATAGCAGCTTCCAAGTCAAGAATTGCTTGTATATTCTGATGATTTATTTGTATATTACATCAGACAGCAGTTGTAGGAGTTTCATCATTATTATCATCACTAACATATTCGTCATTTATTCCAATATTGTTAGTTTCTTTAACAATAGCTCTTTTTAACACGTTAGCTAAGTTTCTTCTTTGATCTTGGTATTTTAACCATTGGCCAAGATTTGCAGAAGAAGGTAAGTTAAGAATATCTTCAGCAACATTATATGAGGCAAGTTGATCAACAGTAGAGGGTGTACGAGAAATCTTTTTTCAAGGAGTTTTAGGAGTTAGTCTTGGAGTAATAATTTCTTCTCCATTTTCATTAAATATTGGATTAATTATGGGATTCTAGTTGATTTATCCACATTCCTATTTCTTAATCTTATTTCAGGTCAAGATTCAATTGCTTTTCTAACCCTATCTTTTGCATCCTTTCTGTTGGTATTATAAGAAGTAGCTCTAACTCTAGGAGTAGCATAAACTTTCTCATATTCTTCTTGTTCTTCCTCTGAGTCCAAATCAGAATATAATTCAACCATATTAGCATCCCTTCTTTTCTGTTGAGTTCTATTACATTCTTTAGCGTAATGACCTTTCTTTTGATATTTAAAACAAGTGATTTGGGATTTATCAAATTTTGTATTAGGAGTTCTAGGTTTTAACTGAGTTTGGGCACTTAGAGCAGAAACAATATTAGCATAATTAAGAGTAAGCTTTTCCATTTGTTTCGCAAGTGATTCTATTGCATCGTCATTAGAACTTTTAGTTTTTCTTTCAATTTGTCTTTCATGTTTTTCAGCTTACCTTTCAAAATAAAATCCAGTTTCATAATCAATAGCTTCTTGAATTGCTTCATTAATAGTCACAGGTTTTTGTGCTACAATCCATCTGACAAGATCTTTTCCAAGTCCTTTAAAATAATCTTATAACATACGAATCAGGTAAATTTCCATTTGTATCTACTTTCTTTTTAAGTCTTCTAAATTGATTAGCATAGGATTCTACTTTTTCATCTTTTCCTTGTAGAATTTCATTTAATTCATAATGCTATTTATTCTGTTGTTCGATGGTAGAAAAATGATTTAAGAATTGGAATACAAAAGAGTTAGGTTCAGGTTGATTATTAATAACTTGATCATCATTATCTTCTTCTAATTCTACTTCTTCTGGATCTTTCCAATTTTGAAAGTCAGTATCTTCATACCAATCAGCTGCCATTCCTTCAAGAAATTCACCAACTATTTCTAAAGCTTTTTCTGAAGTCCAATTATTTGCTTTAGCAGCTTTTTCAAAGTGAATAAGCCAATCATTTGGATCCTCATCAGTTTTTCCAGAAAATCTTCAAACAGAAACTAAATTAGTTTCTCTAGGAGATTGTCGTAGCCTATTTGCATTTAATTGATCAGATATTGTATCTAAAGAGATAGTAAACTGGGTTATAAATGAATTGAATTGATCTTGATCCATTTTTGACGAATTGATTATTTCTCAAAGTAATTGTTGATTCTTTTGTATCAATAATCGATCACTTTGTAGCTGTAATAAATTTTGATCTATTATTTTACTATAAACTTTTAATACTATAGAGTAATTAACTGATTGTTGGAAACAGTTGGTTTTAAAGGCAACACCTTGAATACAGAAATATAATATATTTGAGGACAGAGGCAAACTTTTGTATAGAATACTAGTAAGTAATTAGACAATCACTTCTTATAACCTTGTATCTCGATGTTCGCTTGCTGGTGTATTATTTAAGTGTTCAAATAAATTAAAGGTAACTATAGTTCTAGTTGAGTACGCTCAGCCCTGTGTGCTAAATGAAACCACTTCCAGAAATTCTGAAAGTTAAGTTTGAGGGTATCAAATGCAGGTGGAGGATAACACCAAGGGCAGGTATAATTTACGTTTAGAGGTACATTTGCTAGATGTTTTATGATGTGTTTGGTTGTACTTCTTCAAAATTCATTCACTATAGGCTAGAGAGCCTGGCAGGAATCACCACTTTATTAGCCGGAGGGCTGAAAATAAAACTTAGACGATATAATTCAGTCCATCGAATTAATCATAATAACTTTATCACAATCACGCCTGTATGAAGACACAGCAAAAGGTAATAGTAAATGAATAACAAATATCTTTATTG